ACTTTAAGGGCATTTAAATGGTCATTGGATAAACATATGGATGATAATGGAATAGTTTAGGTTAGATGGGCTTCAGATTGGTTTCACAGGTCGGTGCAACATCGAGGGCCGAAGGGCCTGTACTGCGCTGTAATGTTCTATGTTCTATGTTCTATGTTCTATGTTCTATGTTCTATGATCAGAACTATTTAGAAAGTGAAATAAGATTAAAAGGTTTTGGAAAATGCAAGCACCTTGTAACGTAATAAATTAGAAGCGTGGCTTTTAACATGAAAGGCAGAGTATTGTAATGTTAGAGTCATGAATCTTAATATTAGAGCCTAGGATACTATATTGAGCCCAGGATTCTAAAATTAGAGACATTACATTATAAAGTTGAAGGTTCAGCGCTGTAACATTTGGGGCATAGCACCATAACATTAACAGTACAGCGCTATAATGCTACCTAAATTTGTTTGCCTACTTGTATTTACTGCTTTCCTTATCCATTATATTTTGCCAATATAAATATTTTTGCCCCTTTGCCTGTGATTTTTCTCTGATAGACCTGGTCTTAACCTTCCTGAGATATATGAATAATAAATAATGCATAATAAACAAATACATGACATTGGCTGTTAGATTTTGGGGCAACTAGGAGAGAAGTACAATTTATGGAGTAATTGATGCTGTGCGGGCAACTATGAAACACTACAGTCAAGCCTGTACTGATAGAAGCCACAAATAGGTTCAGTTGAACATGTTATGTCTGTCAGTCACAGTCTAGCCCCTTTTTAAAGGAAACAAGTTTTAAATTTGAGTTAATATTTTGGGTCCAGTGACCCTTCTTCAGAACAATTCTAAAGAAGAGTCACTGACCGGAAACATTAACTCTGATTTCTCTCCACAGATGCTGCCAGATGTGCTGAGATTTTCCAGCAATTTCTGTTTTAGTTTCTGATTTCCTGTTCGATTTTTTAATTTAGATTTTAAATTTGCATTTTTTTTGTTTTTAACAAATAATGATAATTCTTTACAGCTCAAGACCAGTTATCAACATTGGAACCAATGTCACATTTTTACCGAAGTTGGTGCCTCTGTCCTTCGCAAGTTCCCACGGACAAGAGAAAATTATTCAAGCTACTGTGTGTTTTATGGCTCAATCAAACTTTGCACCATTAGGTAATGCCTCAATGATAGCAGAATGTAGAAGGGAGTGCCAGCATCACCATTATCTGGTATTATAACATACCTAACTGTAGCCAAAGAATCACTTGTAATGGCTTCACTTCTGCTCTCATACTGTTACTTGGTATTCCTTAATTGATATCATTAATACAATGGTATTCCCCCATTGGTCAATTGCTGGATCCCTCCTATTTCCTTGCCTCTTGGCAATATCTTCAAAAAGCACAATGTTTGTTTTCACATGTGCACTGATGACGATTAGCTGTATCTCACCCAGACTTCTCTTAACTCATGGACTGTTGCTTACTTATCGCTTAACCAACTTCCAGTACTGGATGAACAGAATTTTTTTTCCAATTAATTCTTGGGAAAATCAGTCATAGAGTCAGAGAGCCATACAGTGTGGAAACAGACCCTTTGATCCAACTTGTCCGTGACGACTGGGTATCCTAAGCTAAACTAGTCCCATTTGCCTGCATTTGGTCCATATCCCTCTGAACCTTTCCTACTTACGTAACTGTCCAAATGACTTTTAAATGTTTTAACTGTACCTGTATCTACCACTTCCTCTGACAGCTCATTCCATATACTCACCACCATCTGTGAGAAAAGATTGTCCCTCAGGTCACTTTTAAACCTCCCACCTCCCACCTCCCACCTCCGCCCTCTAGTTTTGGACTACAGACATTGGCTGTTCAGCCTACCCCTGCCCTTCATTATTTTATGAACATCTGTAAGGCCACCCCTCTGTCAGCAAGGACTCCCTGATTGGCCCAGGTTAACAATGTCAATCAAGGATCTCATGGTCAATAAGATCCACCTGGTTCCAATTACTACACAAAGCAGTGCTGACTATCCCTGATTATTCCATGCATTTCTAAGTGACAATTTTTCTGATCTCTCAGGATTGAATCTAACAATTTTCCCACCTGTAAAATAAGACTAACTGGCCTATAATTGTTTGGTATTTCCTTTGTACCTTGCTTAAACAACAGAACCACATTTGCATTCCTCGAGCCCTCCAACACCTCACCTGTGTCTAGTGAAGATTGGAAAATAATTGTCAGAACTTCTGCTGTTTCCTCCCTGACCACCTTCAGCATTGGAGGGAACAATCTATCCGCCACTCGCAACCTATCCAATTTCAAGGATTCTAAATACTCTAATGCTTCCTCTCTCATTATGATTATTTTGTCCAATATTTCGCACTACTGGCCAAGGTCAGTCATCTCAGCTGTAGAACATCTCTGCAGGAGTTCCTCAGGGTAGTGTCCTAGGCCCAACCATCTTCAGCTGCTTCATCAATGACCTTCCCTCCATCGTAAGGTCAGAATTGGAGATGTTCGCCAATGACTGCACAACGTTCAGCACCATTCGTGACTCCTCAGATACTGAAGCAGTCCGTGTTCACATGCAACAAGGTCTGGACAACATTCAAGCTTGGGCTGACAAGTGGCAGGTAGCGTTCATGCCACACAAATGCCAGGCTATGAACATCACCAGTAAGAGACAAGCTAACCACTGCCCCCTTGACATTCAGCTGTATTACCATCACTAAATCCCCATTATCAACATCCTGGGGGCTATCATTGACTAGAAACTCAACTGGACTCACCACATAAACACAACGGCTACAAGAGCAGGTCAGAGGCTGGGAATACTGTGGTGAGTAACTCACCTCCTGACTCCTCAAAGCCTGTCCACCATCCACAAGGCAAAGTCAGGAATGTGATGGAATACTCCCCACTTGCCTGGATGAATGCAGCCCCAACAACACTCAAGAAGGTTGACACCATCCAGGATAAAGCAGCCTGCTTGATTGGCACGACATCCACAAGCATCCACTTCCTTTACCACCGATGCTCAGTTAGCAGCAGTGTGTACCATCTACAAGATCACTGCAGAAATTCACCAAAGATCCTCAGACAGAACCTTCCAAACCCACGGCTACCTCCATCTGGAAGAACAAGAGCAGCAAATATATGGGAACACCACCTCCTGCAAGTTCCCCTCCAAGTCACTGACCATCCTGACTTGTAAATATATTGCTGATCCTTCACTGTTGCTGGGTCAAAATCCTGGAATTCCCTCCCTAAGGGCATTGTGGGTTAAACCACAGCAGGTGGACTGCAGTCGTTCAAAATGGCAGCTCACCACCACCTTCTCAAGGGGCAATTAGGGATGGGCAAGATATGCTGACCCAGCCAGCTATACCCACATCTGACAAATGAATAAAAGAGGATTGTGTACCATGACCACTGTCTGTGCACCCGCCTGCTCCAGAATGTTCTGCAACCTATCAGTGACATCCCTGAGCTTGGCACCAGGCAGGCAACGTACCATCCTGGATTCATGTCTGTGGCCACAGAAGTGTTTGTCTGTACCCTTATTATTGAATCCCTAATCATTATAGCCCTGCTACTCATTTTCCTCCCTTTCTGGGCTGCTGAGCCACTCCTGATGTCGTGAACGTGGCTGGTGCTGCTTTTCCTGAGAGGCCATGCTCCCCAATTACATCTAAAGGGATCTATCTGTTTGAGAGGGAGATGACCACAGGGGACTCCAGCATTTCATTCCTGAGCTTTTTACTTTCGCATTACTTTAAACTTTACTATTCTGATACATCATTGGTAATCTCCCACATTCTATCCCTGGAACTTGAAGTTATTTAAACTCTGTTGCCCATTCCTTAGCTCAAAGCAACACCCATTCCCCTATTGTGCTTGTGCTTGCCAAACCACATTAGCTCTCAATCAAGCAAAGTCTTGATTTTAAAATTCTTATCTGTGTTTTCAGATTCTTCTACGACCTTGTTCTTTTTTACTTCTGTAATCTCCTCCAACCTTCTGAGATATCTGCATTCCTCTAATTCTGACTCCTTGTGCTTTCCCATTCCCAATCATTATTGCTTCATCAGTGATGGCCATGCCTTCAGTTGCCTTGACCTCGAGATCTGAAATTCCCTCCCTGTACCTTGCTTTCCTTGGTTGAGACACTTCTCAAAACCTACCTCTTTGCTTTGGGATTTGCTGTGATCATGAAAGATGCTGTATACGTTTTTCTTATTTTTATGTGCAAAATTTTGAAATATTTTTCAGCTGTTGAAGGATTCTGTTTCTACATCCAGCTTATTTTTAGGGTATCTATTTGTGGCAGACTTTTATTCTGGGGCTGTTTGACGATTGTCCCTTTAAAAACCGGTCACTTGTAGAGATAACTTACCAGGCAGATGAAAGTAACATTTGTGAACAAGTTTCAACAGATTCAATGCCAGGTGGTTTGTTGCTGTCACTCTTTCAGTAATAGGCTTGAAACTGAATCATATTTAGCTGCTAGCTCTTTTGAATTTGATTTCAGATCTTCATAATCCAGGATACTCTAGCAACTTTTTTTGAGTGGCAAGAAACACTTGGAAAATCAGATGAGAAAAGGAGTTTTTGAAGTATTACAGAAAAACATTACATCAGAAACTGAGAACATTAACTATTTGAAAGGAACTGATTGTTTGAAAGGAGTGGAGGACACTGACTGTCTAAAAGGCACTGGCCATTTGAAAGGGATGGAGAATACTGATTTTTTTTTTCTCCTTGAACCTTCATACATCTGAGCTTAGACTTTCTCAGCTTCAAATAACCCTTCCAGGATTTTAACCAAACTCTGATCAGGAACATTTAAACTAAACTCCTTATGCTGAGGTAACCTTTTTATTAACAGCCCTAAAACTACCTCACTTTCTCAGGAACAACTGTTTTACAATTCCAGCTTCAACTAAAATTTCTGCCTGAAACTGAAACTAAAATACGTTCCTTTCAAGCTATGGGTAAGTTAAGCCCAAATAAAATTACAGAATCTCCTCTCTGAAAGCCTATGCACTACATTATTTACTTTGTCCATAGTCTCTCACAATGTAAACCAAATACCTTTACTTTTCAGGAAGTGTCTATTTTTACCATGTTTTTAAAGAAAATACCATGACTACAAAAACACTCACAAGTTAATAATTAACCCCCTTAAGACACACCACAAACCCATATGCCATTAGTTCAAAATTCAAAAATATTAAAATATATATAAATCACACACTTCATACCTTGCATCACACATTAATAAAATTTATATCTTTAGAGTTTCTGACATATTATCAACTAAAAAAAGAAAGCTCTAGTTTTATGAGGCTGTCCATCTTATATCCATATTTGTTTGCTCCCTTCTTTGTTGTTTGGTATTTTAAACTCCAACCAAGCTCTGAGATAACCCTGCCATTTTCAAGGACAGAAGTAAGAATTTATGTAGCCCTGAAATAATCTAGTCCATAAAGGAATGGATCAAATTGGAATTGCTGTGTGTTTATCCAGACAGGTTAAATAAAACTTACCTAGAATTTTAGGTAAAGACAGACACTCAGAAATCATTTGTTTGGACAGTTACTTTCATTCCAAGATGCCAGGGCAAATATAAGTTATAGATGCATGTTTTAAAACATGCCATTACATTGTGGCAGTAGTTTAGTTGCAACTGAATGTCAGAAGAAGGTGTAAATAGCAATGGAATCTAATGACATGGACGGGAAACTGGAAAAAGATAGATATTCATTATTAATGTGCTTCAATAGTTTTATTCCATGCACTTATTTTATTTTGTACACTTTATAGATTTGACAAATTCCTATGTGAATTATACAATTAACCTGGATACAAAGCAGAAGACTAAAAGAGTGACATTTGCAAAGAATGATGGAACTCCTGACTCTATATCTGATTATGTCAATATCTCATCTGCCGCCTGTAAAACGTATTCTCTCATTGTGCAGGTATGATAGAAACTTTATCAAATCTCCTCTTAATCTACCCTTCTCCAAGGAGAAGATTCCCAGCTTCTCCAGTCTATTGACGTTACTAAAGTTCTTCATCCCTGGAAACGTTCTCATGAAACTTCTTTGTTCCCATTTCAATACCTTCATACCTTTCCTAAAGTGTGGTACCCAAAATTGGACACAGTATGTCAGCTAAAGCCGATCTGTGTTTTAGTTAGGCTTACCATAACTTCCCTGCTTTTGTACTCTGCACTTCAGGTTTCTGTGTGAATTAGGTTCCTCTACCTGCCCTGATAACTTCGATGATTTGTATATGTACGCCCTAGGTCCCTCTGATCCTGCAACCCCTTAGAACACTATCTTTTTTTTATGACTCATTTCATTCTTCCTACTGTCGTGGACAAGGGTGAGGTGAATTGAATTATTTTATGGTCCTCCTCTTCTTATTGTAACAAAGGTGAGTTGTAAAATATATTTCTTACATTATTTCTTTTCCCTTTTTAAATAGGCAGTGGTATGTTTCTGCAAACTATCTGTTTATGAAGTCTAACTTACAAGTGACCCACAGCAAATTCTTTAGGGTTAAAACAAAGTAAGGTTTATTGATGCATTCAAAAACTTGGAGGTGATGGCAATCATGACACATTGGCACATACGACATCAACAAAGAAGAAAGAAAAGATGATTAATTAAGGGAAGAATTTATAATTTCAAATGACTTAAAATCACTTGAATTGGTGTCCAGTAAGTCAACGTCCAGTGAGTTCTTGCAGTTGGTTGGACAGCACAATTCCATTTTGTAGGAACTCAGATACATATAGATGCAGTTTAAGGCACAAAAATATGCTTCTTGTCGACTGTTCACCTTTGAGATGAAACATAGGCTTCTTTCCAGAATTCAGACATCAAGAGACGTCAAGGCTAGAGGGAATGTGTAGCCATATCTGGAGCTGTTTTCTGTCCTGTTATAAAAAGTAGACTAAGGAAAGAAGTCAAAGTGGTATAATTAAAGCAATTCAAAAATATGAATTCTATTCACATGACTAGATTCCCTGGATGAGCTTGCTCAGCTATGAGATAATTTTGCTATCCCTCATCGAAAGTAATTTTGTGTCGTAGGAGATCCTGTGGGTCATTAGTACCATCTGAAGTATAATGGATTTCAATGGCTTTCTTTCAAATCTAACACGGCTGTGGAGATGCAATGTCTAAAATTCCTTGTGTGTGTTTGACTAGAATGTCTAGATAATTTAAGGATGTGAAATTTCGGGAGCTTGATTCATGGCTTTTGTCCACTGGAAGCTTCTGGAAAGCATATTCTGTGACTGGTAGCCATCTTATATTGAACAAGCATACATTCTGAAAAAAAATTTTAAAAATGTAATTTTTGAAAAATAACCATTCAGAATCTTTCATCACATCTTCAGGCCAGGGATGTGCAGGCTAGGTGGGTTAGCAATCGTAAGTGCAAGATTACCCAGGTAGGGTGGGGGGTGCTGGGGCTGGCTGGAATGTTCTTTAGAGGGTTGGTGCAGACTTGATGGGCTGAATGGCCTCCTGATGCACTGTAGGGGTTCTATGATCTTTCTATGTTCTATGACATCTCTTGAACAAAAGAAAATTAAACGGGCTTGTGCAAACAAATTAACTATTGCAGTATTTTCAAAGGAAAATATTTTACATTGTATTTAACTTTTGCTGTGAAATAGAATGGCCCTAAAATACTTGATTAACAAATGCCTTTCTTTAATTTCAGCATTGCACAATGGATTGTGTTTCTGCAATTATTGTAGAGGTGAATTATACCCTGAATAATAATGAAAAGAAGCCTGGTCTACCCTTACCAATTCTTGATCATTTTTCCAACCCGTCATCATGTGTTGAGGTAAAAATGACAAACTTATAAACTTAATTAATTATAGTGTTTAAAGTAAAATGCTGGATACATATTAAAGTAAAGCTTAGTACTAAGAATTTGAGCAGATTGCTTTCCTTTATTCTTCTTATTATAGACCATCATAGACAAAAGTGAGAAGTGAATTGAATTAGTTTTACTGTTCTCTTATTTTCATAACAGGTTTTTTTTGTATTTTATTTTCACTTTTAAAAATAGACATTGGCCTCTTTCCCCAAAGCCAGAGAATGGTTCATAACACATTCACATACTTACATTCAAGGAGGAAAGGAAGAGAAGGAAAGAAGTTACAAATTACTTAAAATCAGGGATATTGGCATTAATTCACATAAATTAGAGATTAGAATTATATATACAATGCTGTTGGGCAGTGAGTTCCAGGATTTAGACCCTGCAGCACGCAAGGAATGGTGGTATAGCTCTATATCAAAATAGTGTGTAGTTGGAAAGGGACTTAAAGGTGGAGGTGTTCCCATGTGTCTGCAGCTTTTGTCCTCCTAGATGGTAGAGGTTGTGGGTAGTAGACCGAGCAAAGAGGTTAAAATTGTATAATTACAGCTGACTTAAGCAAATCAGCAGTCTTAGTCATATGCTGGAGCTTCATGTCTAGCCACTCAGTCACAAGGTGCGTTTTGACATCCTGGCCAAATCTTATTATGCTTTGTAAAGTAAAAATTGGAGTCATCACTCACATCATGGCTATGGTGATGGCTAGCACGAGGGGACATAGCTTTAAATTGAGGGGTGA